TGTATAGATTGTCTCATTTTATGCTCGTTTTAAGGTAAATTTGATTCCTAGTGCACTGATGCTGGATTTTCTCCAGTTTGTGGGGAGCTGGTTATACTGTATTGTCATGGTATATCTGGTATTCCATATCGCCCACCAGTTTCCTGCATGCAGTCTTCTGCTGTGATTTTGATTTATGATGGAGTTTAATGAGAGGTTATAAGATCATGCAGCAAATGTATTCTTTTGCATAATTCCTTTTTAATTTCAGATCGCATAACTAAAGAAAACCTTTGCAGTAGTTGTGTGTTCTTACAGGATTTATTGTCAACTCTCTTATTACAGGGACAGACCTTACATGCTCGTATTCACCCGACTTTGGTTCAAATGCTAGAGTTGAGTGGAAATATATGGACAAGAAAGGCTCACAGACGTATGTGATTTTTGATGGGAAGCCAACAGGTAAGTAGATTTGACCTCAAATGCTACTTTGAAAGATTTTAATTCAATTTGGTGGAAAGTTGGATTAAGAAATAACTGACCAGGGTTAGCACTAACAGCAGCGTCACCGTTTATAACCCTTTTTACATGCTTTTGCTTATAATTTGCTAAGCTATGATGTTTACAAGTAAACCAACACAGTATCTATCCATGTAGGCATTGCCCATGCACACATATTTTCTATTTACTATTTAAACTTTTTAAAATGCTCTTACATATCTCAACCTTAAATGAACTTCTCAAAAAAGTAAATAAATAAAATCATCATGCAATTTACCTACAAATTGCAAAATTGTTCTTGTGGCCCACACTGTATGTCATAGCATGGCAAAGTTGGTCAGGCATGTTAATATCAGATCCAACTGCTTCTGCAAAAATTTTTAATGCTGTCACTCTTCCACAGCGCCATATGCCGACCGAGTGACAATGTACGGTAGTAATCTGAGATTCACCAAAACAACCCGTAAAGATAATGGAGTATACGACTGTGAGGTGTCTGGCAACGGCCAGCCAGGGGAGGTCAGGGTAAAGCTGACTGTTCTGGGTAAGGATCCTTTGTAATTATAAATATTTTCATTTTTAATCCACCTAGACTCACATCACTACTATAAAATTACTAATATTCTGATGTGAACTGTAATGGAGGTTGTGTGTCACTGTACATGTAAAGACCTGTGTATGTTATGTCCCGCAGTGCCTCCGTCTCCGCCCTTGTGTAGGGTTCCCACCTCGGTGACAACGGGCAATAAGGCCTTCTTGTCCTGCCATGACAGTGACGGCTCACCTCCGCCCCAATACAAGTGGTACAAAAATGACGTCCTTCTGCCCCCTGAACCTTCCAAGATTGCTGGCTTCAAAAATGCCACCTATAGACTGAATACAGACAATGGCAACCTGGTCAGCTACAAGCTATTACTTTCAAATCTTTATGTCTTTACTTTGACAGTTGTGGTCTTTAATGGCCTTTGAAATTAAAACTACCCTGTCTGTCTCCTCAGGAGTTTCCCGCTGTAACCAAGATGGACTCAGGTCAGTACTACTGTGAGTCTTTCAACAGTGCCGGCCCTCCTCAGCGCTGTAAAGCTTTGCAAATGGAAGTCCGTAAGTGCTCTTCTCTTCAATTTCTAAAACATGCTGTAGCCTGTGGTTAAATACTCAGATACAGTAATTGTTAAACCAGTTTCAGCCAGTGGAGTGTGCTACATGCCAACACTTCAAAGTAAAACTGGTTTGGCTGCATTGAAGGTGTTTATCTAAATAGAAACTGTAACTGCTCAATATTAAGATACAACCTTCATTTCCTTTCATCAGTTGGCTGCTGCATTAATGAGTTTTATGTTTGTTTTTATTAAAATGTACTAGTTTACCATATCATTATGTTTGACTGTAATTCAGCTAATAACTTAAAACTGTGATGTTTACCACAAGGTGACATCAACACTGGAGGAATAGTTGCCGGCGTAATCATTGTTCTGTTGCTTCTGGTCCTACTGGGAGTCGGCATTTGGTACGCCCACAAGAAAGGATACCTGCCCAGTGAGTCTTCAACATTTTATTAAAATCATAGCATTATTCAGTGTTGACTTTACCAGAAACCTTGACCTCCTGAATAGATAATTTGTTCGGCATTAAAACAATTATACTGAGAAACTAGTTGATGGACATAGTTCAGACCCAGGCAGCAGTTAAGGTAACAGAGATAGCTAGTGAGTGTTTTTCTTCTTTAACAAGTTAAAAACAAATGTTGTCAACTGCCACACACTGTCAGCACAAAGTTAACCTCACTGTGAGACTGGCTGCAAGCTGCAATTATCAAAAAAGTAGTTGAGTCACAAACTTCATAATTACAATGATTTACATTCAATAACTGATCAAATATATAGATAAAATGAGCCAACCTATGTATCTCAACATCCACAGAATATAATAGACAACATAAAATGAGCAGTGAATATCAACAAGACGTTCAAACGGGACATTAGTGTATGAAATCTTGAATTAAAGCAAGTTGTGCAGAAAATTCAGTGTTTACTAAATACATAAACATTTGATACAAATCTTAAGGAAATTTGAAGTTTCTGCTCTTTTAACCCATGATTAGTCCCATGACTGGTATCCAACATATCATTTGTGGGAGGAGGTAAAAGGGCAAGCTTGTTCTGTTATTATCCGTCCAGTTTGCAAGATGTGGAGCTACTTAGAAAGGATAAATTCATGCATTGTGTCTCTTACCAAAGTCACTTTAGGCTTTAATTTAAAATGTTAACATAATCACACAACATTACCACTAATGTACCTCTAGACTGTTGAATATAATTTGTATATATGTAATACTGTATGTACCAAATACTTCATCCTACTGACGTTGTTTCAATTCTTCCCTTTACAGAGAAGAGTGAAAGGTAAGAGGTTTTTCCTTCTATATTGTGATATTGCATTCACTGGTTTGCTGCTCCAAACAGATTTTACAATCTTTGCTTAGTAAAGTTGAAGGTTTCCTTCACATTACATGTATAACCAGGTCTCCTCTCTCTGTGAGATCGCTCAACATGTTTCTTACTTCCCTCTGCAGCAAACCAAAGTCCAATGTGGTCTACCAGCCCCCATCATTAAACGGTGGTGACGATGAAGATGTAAGCATGAGCCTGCCTGTTCTCAGTGTTCTTCTTCTTCTTCTTCTTCTTCTTTTCTATGTTTAACTAACTGAGAGCAAAAGAAAAATGTTCTGATATTTGATGTGTTTGTTTTCAGGGGGATTTCAAACAGAAGTCGTCATTCGTGGTATAGTGTGCAATAAACACCAGGTCACACCAGGACAACGCCTCTGTTTTAAATGTCTCAGCGTGGGGTTTTCCTCAAGGTTTTAGTGACGTCTTTCTGTTGATGTGCTCAAAGCTGCAGCTTTTAATAGACCAGTGTGATTGTTGGAGTTGACTGGAACACTTTACCGTCTCAGATGCATTAACTTGTGGGTTTGAAGTATCAAGGTTTTGGTAAATAATTTACTACCGACTGGCAATGAGACCTCTGTCACACATTGGTAGTTTTTGTTTCATAGAACGTAATGTGGCTCCCAGTGACCCATTTGTAGCCTGAGACATTTTCCCACCTATGTTTGGAGTGTGTGTTTCTGTGTGTTTGATTGTTTTTGTGCTTCCAATTAACAGCACTGTTTTTTTGTTGTTTAAATGATTTATTTGTATGTTAACATGTGAAATGGTAGAGTAGACATTATGTCCTCTACAACCGCAGTGTCTTGACTATTTTTACCATCTTATTTTTATTTTACTGACCCATTACCTTAATGTCCTCCAGTCAAACTATCTTATCATCAATGTTTCTGAGCTGAAATGTTGACAGCTCTAATATCAAAGCAAAATCATAGCTGAGTGTTTGTGTGATGTTTTATCTTTTTGAACAAACCACAAAACTGTTGTAATGTACAATATTCCTTTTCTATTAAAGTTTATTAAGTGTATCTTTCTTGTAAATATCAAAACAGTTTTTACATCTTTAATTTAGAACAGTCTGAAAATCTTCCTGCTATTAACTACAAACTCTACTATTACTGTTTTTATGACATTAATATTTTAGGTGCACATTTAGGGCATATCATTTGTAGTTGAAATAAGTTGAAGCAAACAGATGTCTGAGATGACTTTAGAGAGAGTGTAAGTTAATGACCAAGTGTCAAACAATGTTTTAAATGATGGCAATGTTTCATGTGGAGCCTTATCATAGTGATTCATTATCCAGAGGTGATGGCCCTAAAGTGACATCCATAAATTCTCAGGTTGTGTTCAAGTTGTTTGATAAATCAATACACACATAAGTTTATAGAATCGATCAGGTACTATATTTAAATTAGGAACGTTTTCTACACTGCTTGACCTTCCCTTAATAGGAATTTTAGAACTGATGAATCAGCAGATGGTTGTATCTTTGCCTTACATATTGGTTAATAAAACGTTGTTAAACTGAGTCTACTATTTTTTTATTCAATTAATATTAAGCTATGATCTTCCTTAACATTGCCCAGTTCAAATGAAACTAAATGTAAAAGTAAAGACTAGACAGTTTCCTTATATGATTGGATGATGACACATTAAAGCTACCAGTTATGGCCAATCAAAGTCTATTATCAGTTCAATTCAAATGGCTTTATTGGCATGACGTACCACTGTACATATTGCCAAAGCAAGCGTTTGGAATTAAAAATAATAACAATAAAGGATCACAATCAATCAATCTCAGTAACAGTAGTAAAGTAACAGACTACAGTTAAACAAATTATTAAATATAATATATATAATATTAAAATATATTAAAATTAAAATGTGTGTGTGTGTGTATCTCTCTCCAGACCAATTTCAAAATAAGATGCACATTTGTGTTGCTATGACAACTGATGATGGCGTGCTGCTCTCCCTACTGTACACTGCGCATGCGCGACACCCACTTCAGTAGACAGGAAGTGTGACAAACTTTTTCCACCATCCAGCCCTACCTCGACACTTTTCGTCACACTGCCTCACCTAATGTGACTGTTTTCAGTTCACAAGTGTAACAGCAGCACGTCTAACCGGGGAAAGTGCGCGTTACTTTCAGTTTAACGCATGTTCCGCGCAGATTTCCTGTCCTCTCAAACTGTGTACTGTCTCTTTAACTGGAGGGGCTGCTTCACTTTGAGCTGCAACCTTTTACAGGCTGAACCTCCGCTCACTCAGGATCCATTCATAAATAAGACATCATATGGAAAGGAAGCTCATATAGTCGCATCTGATTTCTTATTCAGTGGACCGGATGCGAGCGGCGAGCAGGAACCAGACATGTTCACCTCGGTCCGGGGGTTGTGAATCGGGGGCACGGCTGAGAGAGCGGGACTGACTTCCCATGGCTGACCCCCCTGCTCATGGTTTTGACTTCATGTGCGAGCCGTCAGGAGGTAGCTTGATCCAGCTCAGAGCATTTGTCCAACCCAGAAAAATGCTCGTTTCCTCGCTAGGTTTGGTGTTTTTACGTGCTTCCGCTTAACCCAAGTAGTCCCGGTTTAAATAGTCTACCGCTTCACCCCTTCTTCATTTTTTAAAATTTTTATTTTTAATAAATGAAAATACACCAGAGGGACCGAGGAGCTGGCATACCGATGGAGCAGTGAGTTATGGCAGCTAAAGAGGAACTGTATGCCAAAGTGACCCCGCGGAGGCAGCGCCAGACCCGGCCGAGCACCGTCAAACATGGGTCCACTCTGGACGTGCTGCTGTCCATGGGCTTCCCCAAGACCAGGGCGTGAGTAAACAGCTGTACTGTCCCAACACACACACACACACACACACACACACACACACACACACACACACACACACACACACACTATTATAACTCTGGGTTCAATTCCCAGCAGCATTCCCCTCATATCCACTCTGGAAGTTTCATGCCTGCTCATGTCTCCGTCTGTTTTTCAGTATCAGCATCAGCAGCTATATGAAGCATCCCTGCAACATGTTGTTAACATATGCCACAGCCTCAGGGGTCATGTCAAATGGCCCCTTTTAAACTCTAGTTTTTTGCTCTTGAACCCTCCCCCACCCATCATGTTCCACAGCAGGGTAATGCATAGGATTTAATGTCACATATTTAGATTTATGTCTTAAGTTTGTTTGTTTTTTAGTGTCAAATACCACATATAAACTTAATATACAGCAGGAAGCATCAGGATCCTTGTAACAATACAACAATGCAAATACACTTCATTACAAGTACAAGTCCTGCATTCAAACTTTTACTAACTAAAAGTATGTACCAGCAGAATGTACTTAACGTTCAAAAGTACCCCCATGTTTACTTATATGCAGGCAGAGTACCCCCTGTTGTTTTATTTTTATTTATAGAATTATTATATTATTGTTATTATATATATTGATGCATGAACATGTAGGCAGCATTTAATGTTGTAGACAGTGAAGTTTGAGCTATTTTATATAGTCATGTTATTATATGTACTGTATAACAATGCTATCATATTTTATATGTTTATTCTGTGAAGTTACTAGTAGTTGGAAATAGTGTGTGTATAAAGCAGTGTAAAAAGCACAAGTGTTTAATAGTTAGTACTTAATACATTTGCTCAAGTATCGTTACTGTACTTTCGTACAGCAGCATCACTTTTATAGGTACATTATGTGTATAGAATAAAATAGGATCAACTTTATTGTCTCTGAGGGGAAATTTGTCTTGGCACAGTGCTACAATCTATTGCTTCCCAAAAACAAACAAACACACAACGTGAAACTTCCCAAAACATGAATGACACATTTGACTATACTCTTAACACAATACAGCAGCTTATAAAGAGAAACCGTAAGACACTATAAGAATTAAAGGTTAATTTATTGCACATTGCTCTTCAGACTGTGTAGCTGTGTGTGTGTGCATACTTATCCATATGTTGTTTGGACATGTTTCTCACTACAAAAGAAAAAACACAAGAGATGCTCAGTGTTTTCTGAGTCATGCGTTTCATTCGCCAACTCTCTCCTTGGTTTTCAATGAAAGCCCAATCCTGTGGGCATTCCTGAGGGCTCCTCAGCACTTCTTTTCATTCATCCTTGAGAGGAGAAGTTGCCAGGAAACAAGCAGTGTTTGCTTGTGAATGCCATCTATGGATTATGTAATTACATAAAAACATTAAAATGTGTCGTCTGGGCTCAGATACAGCACCGGTTTAACAGTCCATAATTGCTGAACATATGCTTAAGTGTTTTATTTTACACAGGACAACAATAGATTTTAATATTTAGAGAGAAGTCTCAATATTTGAGACTGTGAATCAACAAAAGCATTTCTCTATTAAAACCAGAAACCAGAGAAATGACACAGCTGTTAAATGTAGAGTTGCTGCATTGTCAGTGAAAGGGAGAGTAACAATATGCTTTATAAAACCCATCTTAGCCTCTTTTACTCCAGGTTACTAAGCCTGTGAGCATTACCAAATATATGGTTTTAGAGTCAAAAATGCTATGGTAACCAGTTCATTTTTAACACCAGCTTCAATCCTTTTCCACCTAAATACAGCCTCTGATATGGTACGCACTGTGTGGACACTGAATAGGTGTCACATTTTAATTTAAATCCTGCCAGGCTCAGTTTTTATGTCTCAGCCTCCTCATTGTATGAACTCCTCCTAATTACATAATCTATAATCATAACGTCCCTTCTCATTGTTCGGGTAGTCAGTGATTCCCACATTATATATCAAGCATGATGATTTTGAACAGCCTCATCTTGCACAAAAGCCTTTCTGTATGCGCAGCGTGCCTCAAAATTGTGTCCCTTGTAACAAAAGAAATCTGAAGTAGTTTCCTTTCAGTCTTTGTCAGCAGCAGCAGTAATCTCAGAGCGCCGTGATTAACTCCCAGATCTATTACTTGTTTCGTTATCTGAACTGTAGGATATAAAACTGTCTGCCCATGTAACGCAAGAGACCATCGTTTAGGGTGTTATCTGAGTTTTGCTAAATAGGCCAAAAGTCTTTCTTCTTTTAACTAGACTCATACAGTATCTCAAAAATGAAGCGTTTCTATCCTTTTGCAAAAAGAACTGGCTAAGGTCATCCAGGCTTTCATCATTCCAGACTGCAGCTCTCACTCCTCCTGCCTAATGAACCACTGCAGACAAAATGAGTCACTGGGTTTGGTTATATTTGCAGATTCACATTTATTATTGATGGCAGACTAATACACTTTGATTTGATCGAGGCTATAAATTTATAATGAAGCAGAATAATTTAGCCTCATTACCTTCGTCTGGTCTGATGTGAAGTGGAGACACAATAGCAATGATAATGCAGATAGTTATGAAATACACATATAATGTAAACCGCTCAGCTCTTCTCTCCAGAGTTTATGGCACAGTAGTTATTACAGAAGTAAGGTACAAATTACAGTGACACAGTATGGGTAGGATTGGGTGTTGTTTGAAATGTGATTTGGACATCACTTTGAGGAACATAAACAGGTTTTTTCTACAAAAGAAACCAAACTTATTTTATGCTTAAAGCTTCCCTTGTGACATTTTTTTATATTAACAGCTGGAAAAATGAGATGGATATGCGTAATGTTAAAGGGGTTGCTTGTAATAATAAAATAATCCATAGAGACGTATCTCCCGACTACGGTTCTCACCAACTCTACAGAGCGTTTGAGCTTCTTTCAGCTCATTGTTTTGGTTTTGCGGTTGACAACTTTGTTGTTGTCGACATTTAAGCGTCGGCCGTGCTTGCAAGGTGACATTCGCTGACATTCTGTGACTTCACGGAGCTAGCTGGCCTGACTAGCGCTAGTCTGTCACAGTAGCTCTTAAATCTTCTCTCTATTTAATCTCTGCTATTCTGTCATTTTTCCAAAACAGAGCTAAAAGGAGAGTGGCTATTGTAGTTACACTCGCCAGGTGGAAAGAAACAGGACTCCAAGTGAACGCTAATGTTGCTATCTGATCGATATGTAAAAAGGCAACACGTTCGCCATGACTTTATATGTAAGAATAGGCCTATGTGTCAGTGTTGTTGTGCTGCACCCAAGTGAACTAACTTCAATAGATGGAGGTTTTTTAATTTGTCTGAACACAAGCAGCTGTGCAAGAACTTTGCCTAAATATAATACAGTCTGAAATTGGAAAAAATATTATTTAAACAAGGCAGTGACTGATCAGTGAATGAGGAACGAAGTATGACTCTGACCAGATGTTCAACACCAGCTTTCAGTACTTGACAGTTTTTGATTTTTGCTTCTACAGACATATTTCGGTCGGTACCAAAAAACTTTTCAGCACTCGGCACTGTATGGAGCACTTTTTACAGAAGATGCTATTTCTGGAACGTCTTCGCCTGTGCAGATTGTCACGTTCTGCTTTTCAGTTTTGAAGCCCTTCCCTAGACTTTAGTAGGAGAGGAAGAATAAGAATAATAGGAAAATTCAGTTATCAGTCATAGCTTGAGGGAACAAGGGCTTCATTGTGTTTAAGTTTTTTTTTTTTTGAGGCCAATAGGGAGCATGAATCATGTACACACACACAAGCACAAACACACACACATTCAAAAACAGCCCCTCTGTTTTAATTGGGTGTATTTGCACAGTGGTCTCTCTGGCCGTTCGGCTCGTATCTGATGGTCGGAAACAGGTTTTGGAAACTTGATGATAACGTGACAGATACATATCGCTTCATCGTGGTGTCTCTCAAGTTTGCTGCTCTTAATTTTGGTTTTGGTAACTATAAAATGCTAGAGTTTTTTTAATACTTTTTGGTTTGGATTATGAGTTTCTTTGGTAATTTTCACCTTCCTCCATCCCCCCATTATCTGGTGTAACCAGGGCCGTAGCCATGAGTGTTCATGTTCCTCCCTTCCCCAATCTACAAAGCCAAGTTTGTGCAAGTTTTATTTTAATTTAGTTCTTTCAAGCAAATTTCGCTTGGACATCAACAATTGCTTAAAAACTCAAAAGAAACCATTGTCTCTACTTTCTCTATAATAAGTACCCAATTACATGGTTGTTTCCCAGGAAGCTTTTAAAAACTAATTTGGAAATTACAGACCCCTAAATAAAATAAAGCATTGCACTTTTATTTCTCAACAAACTGTAAAAATAAATTCTGTTGGAGAATGCTTATTCCTTTATTTGTTCATGTATTTTGTTGGTCTTAACATAATCCAGTTCAGATACAGTTTAAAGATAGCCTGCTGTGTATATTGCCTATTCTTTTTGGCAGGAATTGGCCTACACAAATACACACTATGTGTCATTTTTAAATTGTAGGAGGTAAACTCTCCCCGAAGTTACAAAAATACTTTCCAGAAAAAAATATTTAGGACATGACATCAGTGTCCTCGATGGCTTAACCTTTCTGTCTGCACCCTCTGCTAAGGTCAATTGAGCCATCTCCTGTTATCAGATAAACAGTTTTCCTCTGAGAATTAAGAAGATGGCCAGGCACTATTGTGATGTTGTAGCTATGCTCGTAGTAGTGCCATTGACCTCTGGCAACCTGCTCCTGTTTAATGACTAGTAATCTATTTTTGCTCCAATGTGCAAACAACGTGTTCTCTGACATTTCTTTAATAGAACTTGTGTAAAAGGCACTTCCGTACCACTGGTTAAAGATTAATTTTTAGTCATAGAGTTTTCCACTTTGTCCTTTTTATTGTGCTTGTGCAGGTCCTTTCTTTGTAATTCCCTGTTTATCATGTGTAAGTCCTCCCTGCGCTCCCAAACAGTAGCTGTTTGTCCGTCTAC